GGAAGGATGATGGGGTAGGAATTAGGTAAGCAGAAAGGAGAGAGGTCTCCATGTAAAAAAAAAAGCAGAGAGCCTAAATAAAGCTTTTCTTTCCTCTAAAAATGTGTTGTGGCTTAACTCATAGGGAAAGAAACAGGCTCCATATTTTCTTAACAATTACCCATGTACATTCAGTCTATTAAAGTGATTAAATAGATATTAGATTTTGATTAATTATATCTGGATCTTGCCTCTATAGCCCTCTAACCTGCCCATTCCTTTTTAAGTGTCTCAGTAAACTTTTTACCTTGTTCTTAGAGGACAAAAACAAAAAACAGTTAACCACCTATGACCTTAACAGCCTAATATCTGAAATCTAGAAACTTCAAGCCGATATCTTTCCTTCTGCTGAAATGCTTCACAAGTGCTTAACCTTTAAACAAGCATACTCTCAATCTAGTCTGCATTATTTCATTATGTATTGGTTTTTAATGTTCAAACTCTCACACAAGGATCACTTATGAGTAGCTAACTTCACCAATTAATATATTTTTCATTGTCAGAAAAATTTATAGAGAGAAAAATGAAAGAAAGGGAACATGAGGTGACTTTGGCTTTTAACATGGGAACTCCCAGCACAGCCTGTGTCTGAGGCAACCTTGGTGGTCTAGCAGTATGGTATACGAGTCTTCTGGTTGGACAATAAACGACATTCGTGGATTTGTCCGTGACCTCTCTCCTTTATGCACTGCCAGTCTCCGGTGTCATCTTTAATTAGTCTTCAGGTCTCCCATTTGTCTGCTAGAAAGCATCTCAGATAAGCCAAGTTAATAAACTGGAGTGGGCAGGATGCCCAGCCACCAGAATGTGCGACTGTGCGGAGACAGTCGGGGGGCAGCCCTCTCCTTTGATCGTGTGGAGAAGTTTAATTCTAACAGGCCACGTGGGAGTCCCAGCCCGTGGGGGTGCAGAAAGGACCTCCAAGCACAGCAGAGGAGCTGCTCTCATTTGTACTGGTTTCAGTTTCTAATTTCAAAACCTTGAGGCTCAGCGGCCTAAGGGAATTGTTTTAACATTTTGCTTCATCTTTCCCGAGGAGTTTGCCTGCGTTCTTCAGTGAATTCTCACAATGGGTGGTAGAACTTCAGCAAGGGAATGAAAATCATTATCCCTGTGTTCTAAACAGGAGATTTGCACTGTGGCGTATTTCCTTAAATACAGTGCATAGCATTGGTAGTGAATAATTCCCAGCCATGACTGTCTTGCTTTTCTGGCTGTGACGTGTTTCCCAACCAATTTTACTAAACCATAAAAATAAATACTATTTATGAGCCTGCTTGCTAGTGTCAGGCATTCTGCAGATCACTTTATATGCATGATCTCACGTAATTCTCCTATCATGCTATAAGGGGTGGGGGTGGGGGGGAACCTCACTTTGCAGATGAGAAAAACAAGCCCAGGTGGGTCCTGGTCCCAGCAGAAGCTCTTTACCACACCGTGATATGGCCTCATAAAATTTGAGCAGTTTGATGGGCTCCCCATGTGCTCTGTCACCATAGCTGAGACAAAGGGAGAGCTGCAGTGATCAATCTTTTTAATTTAGGTAAAAGTGGAAGTTTTGCTTTATAATTGGGGAAACAAGCTGTGCCTTCAGATTTCCTTTGGCCAGGGAAAAGTAACCTTGAAGGAATTATTGTCATGCCTTCAATTATATCCCATTACTAAACTGCAGACATGCTAATCTTACATTATTTGTGTTCATGAAAAATAGCTCTTTATAAATGGAATTTTTGGAATTCAAATGTAGTAGAGAGTTAGAGAATTTAGAGGACTCTCCCAATTTATATTGTGAGAAATCCTAGCTTGCTTTTAAATAAGCTACATGTGTTCTCAGAATCATAGCTGGTTATCATCAGAAACATTTGTGTGGCTGTGAAAGTTCATTGAGAAATGCCAGTTCTTCAAAGCAGATGTCTTTCAAAGTGTATGTGACCAAGCACCAGCTTCTTGGCCTGCCTCAGAACTACCCAGTCAGGATACTCATCTTTGCTGCTTTGCAGATGCCTCATGGGGTGCAGTGGTGGACCTTTCTGGGTGGTGTTTAAAGTACACTAAACCCTTTCAGATCAGCTTGGGACACCTCCCAGTGTTTGAGGAGTGAAGACACTGTGACCCCTTGGCCCACCTCTTCTGGAAAGGGAGGAAGGAAGCAAGAGACAAGCAGGTCCCTACACCCCTGGAAAGGCCATTCCAAGTCTAGGTCAGCATTGCTAGTTACATTTAGACTTTCCTCCACGTAAGAATCTAGTTAAGGTGAGGAAAGCTGGTCTTTCACCAGATGCAGGGAGTTCTCTAGAGAAGTTTGGGGACAAGTAAATCAACCTATATGATGACTTCTCAGGGATTAATAGAAGTACATAAATAAAAGGTAAAACAAACATTACACAGAAGGTACTAGAGGTGTTTGAAGGATGCAAAAACTTTGTATTAGAAAAGGCTTTGTGGTAATGGTGGCATCTCAGAGAAACTTGTTCAGGATGAACAGGACTTTGTCAGGTGTCGTGGATAGTACGTATGGAGTGAGGGTGGAACAGAGAACTGCGTGAGTGAAGACATGGAACTGTAATGTTGGTTGATATAATTAGAAAACCGAATAGTTTGGGTTTGGTTGGTCAAACATATGTGGTAAATAGAGCTGAAAGGTGCCATAGTATAAAGAGCCTTAAATCCCATACCTAGGAGTTTGAATTTACTTGAAGTAGCAATAAGAACCCATTAATAGTTTTATCTTCCTTTGTACCCTTTTCCTCTTTGTTTTCAGTGGATGATCTTGCCTCATAATTCATAGATACCAGAGAAAATGTACCAAGCTTCAAAGTTAACCCTTGATCTCCTCCCCCTCTTAAAAAAAAAAAAAAAAGGAAAAGAAGAGATACTTACCCCCTTATTCCCCTTCACAGTAAATGGCACTTCCAGCTGCCCAGTACTCAGCCTCTGCCTTCCCTCTCCCTTAATGCTACCTTAGCTGCACCAGCAGGAGCTATTTGTTCCACCTCCAGAATATGCCCTGGCTTTATCTGCTCTCTCCCCCTTTCCCTCTTTCTCTGACATCACATAAGCCCAAAGCACCCCTATTTTAAGAGGAGCATAGTGGGGGAAGGACATATTTACCATTTGGCCACAAGTCTGTCTACTGGGAAAGAGGTAAAGGGAAATCTGTAAAAGTAAAGAAGTTATAAAGTAGTTATTGTAGAGATGACATAAGCTTACAAAGAAAGATTAAAAATGGGGAAAAAAAGAATGTCTTGAAATGATGGCTTGGCTGGTTTTAAGGAATTTGTTTCTCATTTGTCCCAAGGTAGGATTTATATTTTTTCAATAAGGTAGGTAGGTCACTTAAAAAAAAAAATCAGTCTTTGCTTCTCAGTGGACAGGGTTTCTTAGATAGCATTGGAATGGTTGTCAGAATAGCTAATAGCAGATGTTCTAGATAAGCTCTGTTAAAAACTCTTACAAAGCAACAGTATCTATAGGTAGCCTAAATGTAGGTTCTTCTGTCCTGTAATCGAGCATTCCTGTCTCATGGCAAATCCCTGAATACCTCTGAGAATGTAGATTGTTCTAAATTTGACTCAAATTGACAGAAGTTCACTCAAATCATGTTTTTGTCATCAGTACATTCTTATAGTTTCCCAGAGTGTCAGGGATTTCAGCAATCATGTTGGCAATATTGTAAATGAAAAGTATCAGACATAACTAATTTCAGAGGACACTTGAGTGACTTCTTTTGCATTTTCTGTGTTTTGGTGCTAACATCTTTTTTGCTTTGTCTATAGTAAATGTTCAGGTATGCTAGTTTTGAAAATGCCAAATTATTATATAGGAATTTCTCAACGTAAATAAAGGCCCCTTCGCCTTCCCAACCGTCTTCTTCAAAATGCCTTATTTTTGTGTTTGTAAATTCCTCCAAGATTTGGAGTATGTATTTCTCTATTTTTTGAATGAGGTGGCATGATTTCTTTATGGTGAAAATCCAATGCTATCTTCTTCAAAATGCCTTATTTTTGTGTTTGTAAATTCCTCCAAGATTTGGATTATGTATTTCTCTATTTTTTGAATGAGGTGGCATGATTTCTTTATGGTGAAAATCCAATGCTTTAATATGTTCTCTTGGAAAAGAACATAACAGTAATTTCTGGCCATGGTCAACAGACAAAAATGATCATGACTCAGCTCTAGCTTTGGAGAAATAAAGCCTTGCTTTCTCCAGTGCATTTCTGCAAATGGCATAAATATATAGCAACATTGGGGAGATGACTCTTGCCTGGATAACTGCCTTTTGTGATGGTGAACTATGGATTATTGTGGTTTCTGTATAGCCAAATCAGAACTATCCAATTTGTGGTGACTTGATTATCAAAAAAGCAATCTATTATAAATTCCATAAAAATTATTTCATATGTGTTGGTAGAATATTAATAAGAAAAATAGGTGAATGGGAGGCATGAAGAGCAGACACAGTCTTCCCTGACCTGTGCTTAGTTTTCGTGCTGGGATGTGTGCCTCACCCTGAGGAATCGCCAGTTTGGCAGGTCCAGACAATTTGGATGCGTGGGAATTTCTGCAAAATCTTTCTCAAGTTCTATTTTTGAAGTATGCACCTGAAGAGAGTCAGGGTCTTTAATTTCCTGAGACTAGTCCTTAAATAGTTTTTGCCTCTCTTTATTTTTAGAAGACCAAAAGCAGAATACTTTACCTGTCCCAAGTCAGAGAATTTTCCAGATCTCTAGAGAGAAAATTGAAGTTAATACATTTCCATGTCCCTGAAAAGAACTATAGAATGAACTAATTATTTCTGTTGGTTCGTTTGATATTTCTGTGTTTGGTTTTTTCCCCTGGTGTTTGGATAAACAGTGATTGACAAGGAGTCTTCACAATTGATACCCAAGTGCCTGGCCCATAGCTGGAGCTCAGTAAATATGTGTTCGTGAGTAATTCTTTCTTCAAACTTCTCTTCACAGCAAGTGAGAAACAGATGGTGGTGGTGTGCAAGGAGTCCCCAAAGGAGTATCTCCAGCCTTTCAAGGACAAACTGGAGGAGTTCTTCGAGAAAGGTAGGTGACTTTGTCAGCTGTACATACATAATACCCTGAAACACCCTGCATTCCTCCACAGGTCTTTCCCAGAGGCCCACTGCCCCTTGCATCCTGGCTGACCACAGGCAGCTCCAGCAACTCCATAATTCCATCTGCCCGTGGTGGTTACATATTCAGTGCAGATGGAGTTGTCCTGTAGCTTTTATATCACCTTTTGAGTCTGTTTTAATATATTAAATCTTTTAATGTTTCTCCTCTTTTTATAAACATTTTGAGGGTGCGCTGTTTTGTCTCTTCATGGAGCTCAAGGGGATCCTCAGTACACACTAACTGATAGGATGACACACATGCAAGCCCTATGCAATTGTGCACTTCAGATTTGTGGTCAGCCTGGACACATGACTGGTGATTACCTTCCTGGTTTTTATGAGTGTATCAGCTTAGAAACTTGTGTTGTATTTTCCATTTCTTTTCAGATAGGAAAATTGGGGCCAAGTGAATGTCTCATATCCAATCACGTGACACCCATTGGCCCTGCAGCATTTGTAGATGGAGGTGATATGCACGAAACCCAGTACTTACTTAGAAATCTTAACAGGTCCTGTTCCTTCCTTCACAATTTTGGCAGGAGTAGGGAACTTTTGTTGATCAGGGTTAGTGAGCACGGAAGTTTAATGCCTTTTAGATATTTCCTGTTCTAACTTCTAAAATTCACCCTAAGATGTGAAACAAAAGTAAGGGTGGAGTGGTTGGAGGGAGCTTTTTTCTTTGCTAGAAAGCCAGGGAAAATGCATGTAGAAGCCTCTGGGCACATCTCAACATGCTGTTTCTGTTATTGGTTAAGGCCACTTGGTATCATACCATCAACAAAAGACTGTGAAACAGGGTGAATCCGTAAAGGATGGCCAAACACCATGGCAAATGGCAAGGTAATTCTCAGTCCAGGAGTCAGAAGAATTCCATTCCAGCTGCTCCCTTGGTGCAGAGATGGTAGCTTACTCCTCCATGACAAAGTGGTGCTGGTGCTAAAGCAGGGAAGTTGGAGTTTCTCCAGGCCATTGAAGAGCATTTTGTATGGTGAAGTCATGCTGTCAGGCAAAGGACCATCTTGAGAGCAAACAATGATACTAACAATTATGTTCTGTGTGACTATAATTAGGTGGGTTTTATATGTGACTTATCAAAGTAAACACATTGCTTTATAATTATACCATGTAAATATAACATAAATGGCCTAAAGAAAAGCATGAAATACTTCCCTTTGCTAACTCCCTATTAATAATGTCTGCTTTTGACAAATGTAGAATTAACTTGAAATGAGGCTTGTGTGTACTTGGATTCCATTTTTATTTTTAATTGCTATTACTCCATATACAGAAAACTTTGCAATGTGTATATTGGGGTATTATATGCCTTTATGCTGTGATGGTCTTAAAAGTCCTCAATATTGTTTGGTGAAAAGTTCACTGTGGAAATAGCCTGTTACTATTATCTTATTACTTATCTGAGTTGGTCAAAAAACAGTCTAGAATTGTACCATCTAGTGTGGCAGACACAGCCCCTTGTGGCTGCTGAGCAACTGAATTGTGGCTGATCCAGACTATGTGCCATAAGGGTAGGACACACACTGAGATTTGGAGACTTAGTCCCAAACATATGTAAGATATCTTCTTTCTAATTTTTTTAATATTGATTACATGATAAAGTGATAACATTTTGTATATATTAGGTTAAATAAAATATATTAATATTAATTTGTTATTTTTACTTTTTAAGTGTGGCTATTAGAAAACTGAAAATTACATTTGTAGCTCACATTATATTTCTATTGGAAAGTGTCAAGGCCTTATTTTGTATATATTAGGTTACATAAAATATATTAATATTAATTTGTTATTTTTACTTTTTAAGTGTGGCTACTAGAAAACTGAAAATTACATTTGTAGCTCACATTATATTTCTATTGGAAAGTGTCAAGGCCTTCCTCATCTCATTCCTTTCCTCTTCATATCATTTCTCTGCCTTCTTGGCTTGAATCTTGGGTTGTTTGAATGCAGAATTTCACAGGCTAGCCTCTTGCCCACTTTTGCTCTGGGTCTGGCCATCATCTGGCTCTCAGGCAGGGCTGCTTAACCAAAGGAGGTGACAGCATGCTACTTCATCAGGCTGTACCTCTGTAGTTAAGAAATATATTATAGCTAACAACAGAATAATATAGCTTAGGAGAGGGGGCTTCACCAAGTTGTGGTATATACAAATGGAATGTCTATTGGCTATTATTTGGAGTTCCATGCAGTAGTCCCTTTTTAATGTAAATATTTCATTGATTCATAGGAAACGTAGATTTTCCACCCACCATGAATTATGCATTATTCAGCCTTGATAAACAAATTTTTATGACAATTGTCATACAGTATAAGTATACTGTTTTATCTAATATGCCATTTGCTGGAAGAAACACCATTATTATATGTACTACTAAGAAAGAAAAATTACTGCCAAATAAACCATGACATGTAGATTATAAGATGTACCCCAATATTAGAGATGCTAAAATGTGAAAATTCCATCAGTTTTGGAGTTGATGTAATATACTTTAATTAGACATATAGGATCAGATAGGAGGAATGCCCAACACTTCCAGGTAAGTCAGGGAAGACTTTCAGCAAAGGAGATATTTTTATTCAGACATGAAAAAGAACAAAGTTGATGATGATGATAATGACAATGACAACTAACGTTTACTGAGAGCTTCTGTATGCCAGATACTATGAGGAGCAGATAACCATCTTATTTAGTTCTCATGACAATCCTCTGAAGTAAGCATTGTTATCTCTCTGTTGTACAGATGAGGAAATTGAGGATTAGAAATTCTCAGCAAGTAGGTTATAAAGGGCATTCCAGGCAGAGCAAAACCCCGCAGATCTCAGAAGGATGAAAGACTTAATGTGTTTGGGGAATGGCAGAAGACTTGGTGCGGCTAGATCACAAGGCATATGACCAAGGCATAAGACCAAAAAGAGAAGAGTCACAGTATGGCTTGCTAAACGATCTGAACTTTGTCTTACAAGCAACAGATGTTATTGAAAAATTACGTGAGGGTAGTTGACAAAGAAAGAATAGAATTAAAAGATAACAGGGGGAAAAAAAAGATAATGCAAATCTTTCCACAAACTTTGTGAAGTACCCCCATATGTACAGGAGTGACATTATTATGTTGGGTTTGTTTTGTTTTGGTGTGTGGTGTTTTTTAAGGGAACCACATTGCTTTTTGTTGTTGTTAAGAAATACATTGTATAGTTGGAAGAGCAAGACACTAGTAAAGAGGGAAAGCAATGGCGGTAAAAATAAGATTCAAGGAAGGGCTGTATTTATAACAGGCTATTTTAGGAGTTACAAGACAGGATAACCAATTGGAAGTACAAAATGAAATGGGAGAAAAGGATAATTCTCCTTTTTTTTTTTTTTTTTGCCTTGATAACTGGCTAGATACTGATGAGGAAGACTAGATTTGGAATGGGAAACAATAAGTTAAACTTTGGACACATTAACTTTGATGCACATGTAAGACACACAGGTAGAGAGAGTTGGGCTCAGAAGAGAGTAGATGAGATTTTAGAGGTGGCAGTTTAAGTCATAGGAATGAATGAGATAGCCCAAACAAGGCATGTAGAGTGAGGGGGGTCCTGAAGTATCAGAGTGTCTGAGCACAGGGTATCGTATAATAACCTCAACTGACAAAGTATACTTATGTACTTCTCCAGAACAGCTTATACAGAGTATTTGGCAAGAAAGCTAGTTCCCCTCTATTAGGGGTCTTAACACTCAAAGTCTTAAGCAATTGTGTTCTTTACTCCTGAGAAGTCGCATGCGTTGTGATTCCGTTGATTCATGGTTAGGATTGCTTTTACATAAGCTGCAGTACAATCATGATGTTTTAATTTTTCATTTGTAAATCATATCCTGTTGCCACACTCAAGTAGAGATGACGTGTTTGTCTTTAGGTCTTTTGTCATCCTTCCCTTCTCAAAATGCCCTTAAATAGTGTTATTTAACAAAACTGTGGTACTTGTTCTTAACTAATTTCATTTCCTGAGCAGAATTGAAAGTAGTTTTAATGGCACCACTTTTTAGGGTTGCACCCTGCACAGAATCCGAGTCTTTTTCTTTACATGTTTTTTCTTTTCCACAGTAGCTCTTGTTGATTCCAATTTACAGCTCAGTTCAGAATAACTTTGTGCAGGCATTTTTTGAGTCCATGCTTTCCCACCCTCAGATCAAACATACCCATAATGATATGGCCTTCAAAAATGTGATGCTCACATTAAAAGTCCCCATAAACATGGCAGGGATCCTGTAATTGAAAGAAGGCGCAGAGCAACTGATTAGATCCCAGGTATAGATCTTGTAGGTGGTCTTTTCATGCTGTTAAATTGGTCATTTGTATTTATAGCTTTGGCATGGAGGGCTGGAACCTTAACTGGCTCTAATATCAGCACTCTCCCACACTTGGCCTTATCTAATTCTCCATTAATTTTACCCGGCACCCATGTATGGAGCCAAATTTAAAGTGAATCTGAATGAATCATATTCTAGTCCTAGTTTATCAAACTATCCTCTAAATTTCTTTGACCAGCTGGATTAGAGATATTCTTACTGTCAAGAAACTGTTTTGTAGTAAAAAATAAATTTACCAAGCTAAAAACAAACAAAAAACAATAACTCTGATTTCCCACACTGAATGCAAGAAGAATTATATAAATAGCTGAATACTCCATGACAGATGAGACTGTGTATGTCTGATCCTATTCTCTTTCCCACCCCAACATATAATATAGGCTCAGCCTGGTCCATGATGGGTATCAATAATTATTTGTAGAATTAATAATCAAACTGCCTGAATCATGTAAAGTGCCCAGAGGCTATTTTTCCTGCTTCTGTGGGTTTAAATCATTTCAGAATTGGTAAATCATGCCAGAATCTGATGTGGTGCATTTTTGGTCTATAACACATGTCTG